GGAGGGCCTAGGGGGTTTGCGTAATTACTATCAGCGCGCGGCCCAGAGGGTATCCGCATAGGGTTTCAGCGCGCGGCCTAGAGGGTTTCCGCATGTGGTGCCCAGCGTAGGGCGGGGAGGGCGTGTGCGGGGGACGAGCTAACCAGCACGGCGGTCAATTTCTAGGGTAAAGTTTCCAAATCTACGGAGGGGTATCAGGTTAAGCTAAGGTCCCAATTACGCCGGTGCCCGTCGGGGATGTAGCCCCGGCTGGCCCCGGCCGGGTTCAGGAGTCGAGCGGGCATCGGCTGTCGTGGTCACAATTAAAAGTTTCCTTCAGTAGCATTTTGTTAGAAATTTTGTCACCCTCTTTGGTCGGTATCCGGCAGGCACCCGGCAGGTACCCAGCAGATTCTCTGACGATGTCTTGTATTGACCTATACGTAATGCAGAATTCACGTATTTGTTGTGATCATTTGATCTGTGAGGTCACACATTTTACCCGGGTTTACGAAGTACACACCTTTATTCTATTCATCTGGTCTGTGACGTAAGAAATGTGTCCCGGTGGAATGCCGGCAACCGGAGGGGTACCTCTCGGTGTTCTCACGATGAGGTCACGGCGTCTTTTTGTCAGCGGGGCCCGGGTAGAATTTAACTCAGAATTAAATTCTTATCGGGGCCCCGACGGGCCAAAAAATAGCCCGGTAGCCGCAGAGTGCCCCGCGGGGCCACGTCGGGGTCCCGCCCGAAAGTGGTAAAAAACAGCCCGGGAACTACCCGCCAGGGCCCCTTTTCCCAATTGGGACCTTAGCTATACCGGGGTTCCACGCGCGGCTTCCGTGGTGCCAGTCTCAGCAGTAAACATTTTGTTAAGCAATAATTAACAGTTTCACGGGGACTCTCTCATCCAAATGTGATAAAATCCGCACTGCGTATACCTCAAATGTTGTTGTTTTTATTACAATGCTTAAATGTGTTAGAAATTACTCTCAACTCGTCGAATGCTTATTCTAGAACAATCGACGTCAATAACCAAACAACTGATTTAAACCGACCCCAAATCTTCCAGAAAATTCCATATTTTTGCATTTTAGAGAACAGTATAACAAAATTAAGATTTGAGTCGGACATTTTTCTTTATTTCAAAGTTAAAGTGTTGCTAAGGTCGAAAAAATCGCCAAAAAATGCGCTTTTTCAACTTCCGAGACGGATAATTCCAGAAAGCCGCCATCTTTAAAAAATCCGTCCGACACAGATCGAGATTTTTGTCTTGCCTACAATTTAAAACGTTTTTGAGGTAAATTGAATTTGTTTTTGTTGCGCTTTAAATACCATGTTTGCACGCATGTCAGACCGTGTGAGCAAGTGCAGGGGGTAACTTACAGCCCCGTAAACAACAATTACGATCTTCAAGGTCACACATGATTACGGCAGTAGCTTCGTTACATGTTACATATCCACTATAAAACAGTGCAAAGATATACTGTTCCGAAATCGGTTTCTATTTGTGAAAAGGTGAATTTTTTACTGTTAGGCGGTATCCGTGTAAAAACTGGCTTGAAGCCGCGGGTTTACTGTACATGACCGCGGGTAACCCCGGATCGAACGAACGTTCGGTTCGATTGACGTCATATCGAACATGGTTCGATTCGATTGACGTCATATCGAACATGATTCGGTTCGCTAAAAGGTTGGAATATTTGGGCCCAAATTTGACCATCGTGCAGGGCCCGCGGCGTTTACTAACTCTCCCCGACGACCAACGAGGATGGCTCCCAGGGTAGTCAGTTCTATTCTGACTTTTCATATCACATGTTAGAATAAATGATTCCTCATTACTGTACAGGTATCATCATTAACTCAGTACACAGTACACGAAATAGGCCGGAAGAGAAAAAAATATAAATGTATAATATGATTGAGGATAAAGCCCATCAACATACTGCCCATGGGAACGGCCCAGTACTATCGCACAAATATTAGAGCGGAAAAGTTCAGGATTTTACATGGTTCATCCTCAGATTTGTCTTACCCTGTTGCGGAGACAGCTCGCCTCCTCTCGGATTTTCTCCTCAATGCTGCCAGTTCCGATCTTCATGCCCAGTTTTCTCATGACGGCGGTGGCAAACTTCTTTCTCTGTCTGAACTCAGGTCCCCAGCGCGCAGTAATTATGTCTACAGAAACAAATAACACATCTTTAACATGTAATTCACTACCATACATGTCACATCTTCAATGATGCTGCTCACAGGACACCAGACAACATTGACCCTTTCTGTCACAAGATTGACAAGTATATTCACGACCGTTATTAGAATGCCCTAGGTTTCTGTTGTAAGCTTTTATAGTTTCTTTTCATTTATTTTATAGTTAGACTTAGATTACTTTTAAAGTTTTATTGTTCGACTTATGTGAAGAAAAGCACACAGTGAATTACAGGTTTACCTTTTCCAAAATCAACCATCGCATCAAGCAGGTACATTGGCGGCCTGGAGGCGAACAGCTCGGACCTGTCCACGAGCGCGTCCTTGACGGCAGTGTAGCCGTTCAGAACCACCACATCTTCCATCCCCATCCTGACGGTGAAGACGTCCCCGTACTGCCGCCCCCACGCCGTCAGCTTGAGGTGAGGCGCTCGGCCCAAGGCGAGGAGGTGCCCGAGAACA